TGTACAAAAGATAGAAAAATTAGCCAGGCGTGGTGGCACATGCCCATAATCTCAGTTACTTGGGACATTGAAGCAGGAGGATAACTTAAGCTCAGGAGTTTAAGGTTGCAGTGAACTATAATGATGTCACTGCACTCTAGCCTGGGCAACAGAGTGAGACCCTGTAACAAAAAAACAAACAAAAAACAAAACAAAACAAAAAACCCAAAATCAAAACCAAAAATCACACACACACAAACAAAAAGCCCCAAATTTAACAGGGGAACATTTCCAGAATGGAATGGTCACAGTCTGCAATCTGTAACAGAATGTGATAAAGCTATGGAGATGTTTCTGTAGGACAGACACTTTCTGGGATAATAGCAAACTGAGTAGGGCCTCCAGAACAATTCTTACAGCCTAGCTAGCATTCTTACATGCACATGAAACAGAACCTTCAGAATTCCAGTAGGGAAATAAACCTTTGTTGCATATAAAAAATTTGATATCTAAACACAAGCAGAAAAACTATTTCTCAGTGTCATATAAAACTATTTTTAAATTGACAGAAAGCCTCTAATATTCCAAAAGATGTGAAATGGAGGCTGGAGACCTGGATCTGAGCTCCTGGGCAAGTCATTTCTTCTTTGTCTTTTAAAGTGTAAAAGGTGGGTAAGTGTATTGCTGGTGGAAAAGAACATTTAATCTATGCTCCTTCTGGTTCTCTAATATTCTGCTATTCTAAGGTATCGCATTTTGAGGCCCACAACCCAAATGAATGGCTGTGATATTATCATACCATTCTTCCAACATAAAAGGCTATATAAAATAGTCCCTTCTTATTTGAGGGGGATATGTTCCAGGACCCCCAGTGGATGCCTGAAACTGTGGAGAGTACTGAACCATATACTATATATACTATAACAGTTTTTTCCTATACATATGTACCTATGATAGAGTTTAATTTATAAATTAGGCACACAGTAAGAGATTAACAATAACTAATAACCAAACAATTATAACAATATGCCAACATCACTACTCTTATGCTTTGGGACCATTACTAAATAAAATAAGGGTTACTGAACATAAGCACTGTGATACTTTAAGAGTCAATCTGATAATCGAGACAGCTACTAAGTGACTAAGGGGTGGGTAGCATCTATAGCGTGGATAGGCTGGACAAAGGGATGATGCACATCCCAGGTGGGATGGAGCAGGATGGCATGAAATTTCATCATGCTACTCAGAAAGCCACACAATTTAAAACATATTTACTTTATTTCTGGAATTTTCGATTTAATATTTTTGGACTGTGGCTGACCATGGGTAACTGAAACTGCAGAAAGCAAACCACAGATAAAGGCAACTACTGTATTTATATAAAAATTAAATATCTTTCTCTAGTGAAGCCAATCTTTTTCCAACTGATTAATTTTAAAAAATTATTTTAGTTAACATTATCTCACACCAAAATACATTCCTTTAAAGAAATATAATTGGCACTTAAGAAATACTTGTTGAACGTTTGGTTCCATGCCATCATTTAAGCCCTGGCTCTGCCACTTATCAGTTTTCTGACTTTGGCAAATCGTATCCTCTATAGGAATATTTCCTCATCAACAAAATGAGAGCTTTAGTTCCTTTCACTATAACATGCTATAACTTATTTACAGAAATATATGTCTTTATTTAATGATGATGGCAATTTGAAACATACATTTCTTAAAAATACTTACAGTATTTTATTTAGGGTTGTGGGCTCAATGTGATATTCTAAGATTTTCAGCAACAATTTAAAATTGTTTCTTGAGATGCTTCTACTGAAATCACTGATCTAATTTCCCAAGTGGAGATACTATACTAAAGAATTGTCCAAAGGCTATGAAACAGAATATGTTAATACTCACGAAGTTCTTTAACACAGTCATTGACAAGCTGTTGTTCCTTCTCTTCATAGGTAATAGTTTCTGTCTTTATGTGACAAGCCTTCAATATAAAAATCAGTATGTTGATGATAACTTCTAATGACCTTATAGAAATAACTACAAAAACCTTTCATTTGTAGATTGGAAGATTAAAGTCCATCACTTAACAAAGGAAAAAACCCAGCAACCTGTCAAGATTTATCTAGTATGTAACAAAGGTATGGAAAAGGACAAAACAAACATCTTGCCCTCATTCCTCTCAGGGCCTTTTTTACATTCCTATTCATGCCTCCTGTCACCTACATCTCTGACTGGCTACTCCCTGGCCTCAGCTAAAATGGCACTTGCTTAAGTAGCACTTCCTTGATTGCCTCACCATATAAGCTCACAGAACCTTGTAATTTTCCAACAAAGCTCTTATCATAGTTGTAATTATTTAGTTACTTGCATAAACTCCACAAGATATAAATTTTATGCTTTGGCTTTCACTATTTTATCTGTCAACCTGCTATTTATCCACTTTTCAGTGGGATCTAAGTAACAATGGAAGGTGAATATAGTTCCTTGTCTGCTAGCCCCTAAATGGAATGCCAAAAGCAAATCCATAGTTATGCCATGTTTCACCTCAATACTACCTGGACCTGAACTTTATAGCCTTTAAAGTAAAGACAAATGAGAATTAGGTTGAACATACCTTTGATCGAAGAGCCATATTCTCTTCTTCCAGTTCCTTGAGCTTTTCTTGCAACATGTCCAATTGCAGTAAACCTTGAGATAAGCTAAAGGATTCATTGAACCGAAGAGGTGTAGAACAGCTGGAATCAGTTTCACTTTCTTCAGAAGCGATGGAGACAATTCGAAGTAACTCATCTTTCTTGGATAGCTCATGCTGCAGCTGATTAACCTGCACATACAAAATGCTTGATTTACATGTTCTTTATCTTGTATTATTTACATGCACTACAGCTTCTGATTCA